TAGAAAATGAATCACCAAAATGCGCCGAGACAAGAAGAGAACCTCCTTAAACACTGTCACTATTGTCCTTGACACAACATAGCATCCAACTATTCGGCAAAAAAATAATTTTCCAGAGCTCAAACCGATGTATAAAAGTCAAGAATTCTAATTTTCGGAGCTCAAAATGATAACAGAAATTCAATCATAGAAATTGTTGATATGATGACCTTTTTGCTGTAGCAGTGACTTAATAACTGATGCAATGACTTTTGTAATGTATGGTTTTAACATAATTTAAGCAAGTTGTCTACTGTACTTTTTGTAAAATATATGGTGTAAAAAATGTGAAGCCTTATGTAGTAGGTAAAAGTGGTTGAAAACTTATCAAGAGGGATGTATGTATGTATCAAAATTGTCTTTTTGCAATATAGATTGAAGTAAACTCTTTGCACTTTGTATCTTAGTTTTCTTTCCAGCAATATCTCTATTTTTATTTCCAGCAGCTTCTTGGTTTTCTTCCCTGCAGCATCTCAGTTTTCCCTCAGCATTATCATCATCAAAAGAACTCTTCTCCATTCAAATACTCACATGGTATCAGAGCTTTTATGATCTTAAGGGCTTGAGAAAATAGTTTTCATGGAAACAACAAGTGTTTCTTGCCGCACCTCCTGTTTTTACTAGAGAAAGTTATGATTTTTGGGCAGTAAATATGAAAGCTTTCTTGATGGCTTTGATCTATTGGAAATAGTTGAAAAGGGTTTTGAGCCTTCAAATGAGGCACAAGATCGAACTATAGCACAAATCAAACAACAAAAGGAAGACTTTACGAAAAATTATAAAGCTCTTTCTTTCATCCATTCTGCTGTATCTGAAAATATTTTTCCTAGAATTGTTGTTGCAACCACAGGAAAAAAGGCATGAGATTTGTTACAGGAAGAGTTTCAAGGCACAGAAAGAGTTAGGACAGTGAAGTTGCAAATGTTGAGGAGAGAATTTGAGATGTTGAAGATGATTGAAGCACATTCTATCAAGGAGTACTCTTCAAAACTGATAGAGGTTGTGAATCAGATGAAGCTTCATGGAGAAAAAATTTCTGATCAAAGAATAATTGAAAAAATCTTGATTAGTTTGCCTAAAAAGTTTGAATCAAAAATTTCAGCTATTGAAGAATCAAAGGATCTCAGCAAGTTGACAGTGACTGAGGTTATTGGATCTCTACAAGCATATGAACAAAGAACTAGTAAAAGAAGTTAGGAGTCTCTTGAAGAAGCTCTTCAAGTGAAGCATAAAGCAAACATATTTCCGGGAAGAAAACAACCTACTAGAAGAGATTACAAAGGCAAAGGAGTTGAGGCTACCACAAAAGAAGTTGATAGAAGAGGAAAATATCCATCTTGCAAAATTTGCAATAAAACAAATCACTTGGAAAAGGATTGTTGGCATAAAGGCAAGAAGCAATGCAGGTTCTGTAAAAATTTTGGGCATATTGAAAGGTTTTGCAGGATAAAACAAAAACAAGAAACTCCACAAGGCCAAGGAGATAAAGAAGTTCAAACATCTCATTTTATTAACAAGCAAGAAGAACATTTGTTTATGACTTCACAACAGTCACAGCCAAGAATGAGCACAGATTGGTATATTGACAGTGGGTGTACAAATCATATGACATTTGATGCTAATCTATTTACTACTTTGGACACTTCAATCAAGACCAAAGTGAAGATGGGGAATGCACAATATGATAATGCTGAAGGCAAAGGGACTATTGTTGTGCATACAGGAAAAGGTACTAAGCTTATTTCAAATGTCTTGTTAGTACCAAATTTGGATCAAACTCTTTTAAGTGTGGCTCAAATGATGGATAAAGGATATTGCTTGATGTTTAAACATAAAAGTTGTAAGATTTATGATTCATGTGGAGTAGAGCTTTAATGTTGAAGTGAAAAATCACAGCTTTCCATTAAATTGGTCTTCTTGCCTTAGTTCACATGCTTATAGAAGTAATGCTGATAAAACTTGGCTTTGGCACAAGAGATTTGGACACTTTAACATGTCATCACTCAAACTTTCTTATGAAAAGGGAATGGTTAGAGATTTACCTCTCATAAATCTAAGTAAAGATGTATGTGAATGTTGCCAATTGGGAAAACAACATAGACTTTCTTTTCCCTCAAGTGGTGTAAGAGCTAGGGAAAAATTGGAATTGGTTCACATTGATGTTTGTGGACCAATGCGAACTCCTTCATTGAGTGAAAACAAATATTTCATTCTTTTTATTGATGATTACTCAAGAATGACATGGGTGTATTTCATGAGTAGAAAGTCTCAAGTCTTCTCCATTTTCAAAAAATTCAAGAATCTGGTGGAAACTCAAACCGGTTGCAAGTTGAAGAAGTTGAGGTCTGATCCCATACGTCAAAAGAATTTGATAAATTTTGTGAAGATGAGGGTATATAACGGCAACTAACCGTGGTATATACGCCTGAACAAAACGGTCTTTCAGAAAGGAAAAATAGAACGGTGATGGAAATGGCAAGATATATGATTTTTGAGAAAAAACTTCCTAAGAAATTCTGGATAGAGGCTGTCTATACCACCGTGTATTTGCAAAATAGGCTTCCAACTAAGGCCGTGCAAGATAAAACTCCCATTGAAGTGTGGACTGGAACAAAACCTTCGGCAAGTCACATTAAAATTTTTGGTTCAATTGATTATTTTCACATTCCTAATGTGAAAAGAGATAAGCTTCATAAAAAGGCAGAGAAAGGCATATTTTTGGGGTATAGCTCTAAATCAAAAGGTTATAGAATCTTTAACCTTGAAAAGGAAAAAATTGTTGTAAGTAGAGATGTGAAGATTGATGAAAATGCTAGTTGGAATTGGGAAGAGGCAAAGGTTGATAAGCAATCTACTATTGAGGCTCACGATATAGTTGTTGAAGAAAATGAAGAAGTCATTCCTGAAATTTCAGATGGAGAATCTGATGATTCTTCTAGTTCTTCTTCCGATTCACCAGTTCAAAAAATTAAATCATTGGCCGAGATTTATGAAAATTGTAGAATGTCAATGATTGAGCCCACATGCTATAAAGAAGCATTTGAAAGTCAAGAATGGAGAAATGCTATGCAAGATGAAATGACAATGATTGGAAAAAATCAAACATGGGAGCTTACTGATAAACCAACTCACAAACAAGTCATTGGAGTCAAATGGGTTTACAGAGCAAAATTGAATTCGGATGGTTCAATCTACAAGCATAAGGCAAGACTTGTAGTAAAGGGATATTCACAAAAATTTGGAGTTGACTATTGTGAAACATTTGCTCCAGTTGCAAGATTGGAAACAATAAGACTACTACTTGCACTTGCAGCCATGAGGAGTTGGAAAGTATATCAGCTCGACGTTAAATCTGCTTTCTTGAATGGCACATTGAAGGATGAGATATATTTTGAGCAGCCAACGGGATTCATTATTGCTGGAAAGGAGGACAAAGTTTACAAATTTAAGAAAGCGCACTATGGTTTAAAACAAGCGCCTAGAGCATGGTATAACAAAATTGATGGTTATCTTCAATAAAAAGGATTTCAAAGTAATCAAAATGAAGCCACTCTTTATGTAAAAAGGAGGGAAAATGCAGCTATTTTAATAATTTCTTTATATGTGGATGATTTCTTGTTAATAGGAGAAGATGAAATAGAGATGAAAAACTTTAAGGATGAAATGAAGCAACACTTTGAAATGACGGATCTTGGAGTTATGAGCTACTTTCTTAGCATGGAGATTCATCAAACTGATCATGGTATATTCATCTCTTAAAAGAAGTATGCGAAGGAAATTTAAGATGGAAAATTTCAAGCCAACTGAAACACCTCTTGGAGTTAATGAAAACTTTCAAAAAAAGATGGGGTAGGAAAGGCGAATGAAGGTACATATAGAAGTTTAATTGAAAGCTTGGTGTACTTGACTTCAACAAGGCCAGATTTGATGTTTACGACGAGTCTTCTTTCAAGATTTATGCATTCTCCAAGTGATATTCATTTCAAGACAGCAAAACGAGTCTTGAGTTACTTAAAAGGAACTACTAGTTTTGGAGTGTGGTTCGAAAAATCCCTAGATCGATGTTTGAGGGGCTGTTCTGATAGTGACTGGGCAGGTAGCATGGATGATATGAAAAGCACTTCGGGGTATTGTTTCTCTTTTGGTTCAGGTATATTTTCATGGAATTCGAGGAAGCAAGAAATTGTTGCACAATCCACCGCCGAAGCAGAATATATAGCCACAGCAGCAGCTGCAAATCAAGCTATTTGGCTTAGAAAATTTTTATGTGATTAGGGATTTATTCCACAAAAGGCTACTGAAATTTATTGTGACAGTAAGTCTGCTATAGCTATGTCAAAGAATCTAGTTCACCATGGAAAAGCAAAGCACATAAAAATCAAGTATCATGCTGTAAAGTAGGTTGAGTAAAATGAAGAAATCAGTCTTCAATATTGCTGCTCAGAAAATCAGATTGCAGATATATTCACAAAAGCTCTTCCTAAAGTCAGATTTGAACATCTAAGATCAATGCTTAAAGTCTCCAGCAAAATGCTCAAGGAGGAGTGTTGATATGATGACCTTTTTGCTGTAGCAGTGATTTAATTACTGATGCGATGACTATTGTAATGTATGGTTTTAACATAATTTAAGCAAGTTATCTGCTGTACTTTTTGTAAAATATATGTTGTAAAAAATGTGAAGTCTTATGTAGTAGGTAAAAGTGGTTGAAAACTTATCAAGAGGGATGTATGTATGTATCAAAAACGTCTTTTGCAATATAGATTGAAGTAAACTCTTTGTATTTTGTATCTCAGTTTTCTTTCCAGTAATATCTCTGTTTTTCTTTCCAGCAGCTTCTTGGTTTTCTTCACTGCAGCATCTCAGTTTTCTCTCAGCATCATCATCAGAAGAAGAACTCCTCTCCATTCAAATACTCACAGAAATGGTATAAAAATCACAAATTTGACTAAGGAACCATAAAATTAACAAATGATTTAACATACTCCCCATAAATATAGATCGTGTATCCTGCCATTTTTCATTCCAATACTCAAAACTCACATCAGTAAAAACACTCAAATTACTATACACATTGATAAAATTCGACGAAGCCTATCAACATTAAATTACATTCCCAAATATATATTAAACAAAAAATAAAAAAAGATCAAACCAGAGAATGAGCTAAATTCACAGCCATTTTCTTGGATCAACCAACATGGAAAGGGCTAATTTCCCCAGTTCGCAGGGAATTAGCAATTTCATCAGCAACAGTTAAACAAGAAACTATCCAACCACTCAGTGCCATCCATATCATACTTGCCATCCAAATTGTCATATTCCATGGCATCGCCATTGTCTCTATGTCCCAATCCTGCAAAATTTCAAATGTTTCACTCTGATTCAAGAAACAATTAAAAGAAATTGAAATAGTTAGATTTAAGACGAACCCATATCAAGAACAAACCCTCATCCCCATTTCCCAAACCATCAAATTCTTAACTATTCTCAAAAATCCAAAATCTTTCCAATAAAATAGCACACAATTTCTTGATTCTCTTGAACTGGATTGAATAATCAACCTCGAGAATCAAAGGTTCTCAATTTGAAGACAATACTATCAAGATTGACCCAAAAATTCTTGCTTCAGATTAAACGATCAGACAAAATCACAACCCACCAAACTCTTTCTTGATTTTGGATTCTTCAAATTTTGATTCTCAACTTGAAGACAATACTTTCAAGATTGGCCCAAATATTCTTGCTTCAGATTAAATAAACAGACAAAATCACAACCCACCAAACTCTTTCACGATTTTGGATTCTTCAAAATGGTATCTATGGCTAAATAGAAAACAAGTAGATGGATTGAAACTGGAGGGTAATCTATTTTGGGGTGAGGTTTCAGAAATCTCTAGAAGTGCAATCTGCAGAATGGATTTTTGTGACAATTTTGGACTCTACGAAGTTGGTGAAGTGTACACAATTATGGCGTTGTAAAATGACAGATGTTTCAAGAATGTAGCAATAGTCCTCCTATTTTCTAGAAGATGCCATTTACCCCCCTCAAGTTCAAATATTTTCAATCAACCCCTTACCAACAAGTGACATTTTAAGTATCAACAAATTTTGATTTTCTTAGCATGAGTTAGACATTTTCATGGATTTGTTATCACAAGAATTTGATTTTCAATATAATATGAAAAGGTGAAAACATTCTCATTATTATATCAAAAGATTATATCATGTAAATTATCAAATTATAAATCAACTTACAAAATAAAATAAGAATTATTTTTGATAAAGTGAGAAAAGTCGTATTTCACTTCTAAACCATATGATTCGGCCAATTTTGCTTAATATACTCTTGACAGTGCTGATAAGAAAATAGATTAAAGTCATACTTTAGCCTCAAGAGGGTCATTAGGACTCACAAATTCTCATTTCCTAAAGGGGAGACAAACCCTTAAAACTATAGTATTTAAAATTTTTTAGACCAAGCATATATAATAAATTATTGAAATGTTTTATACCCAATAATTCACTATTTAAAATTTGTTATACGAATACTTAGAATCATTAACTAGAGATTACTTGACAAATCTTCTATGATTAAATAATTGAATTCCTAATTATTAAACATCATGAAAAAGTATACACCAAGCAAGGTCTCTAACTAAATGGACTTGTTTATCACAATAATTTGTTAGGTGTAAATGTTTAAATAAATTAAATTTTAAAATAATTGACTTTAGCCAAACTAATGCTCATCCAATCATTGATTTTTATCTTTAGCCACCAACCAAAATAGGGTTTTTCTAATCGTCCAGGGCCCCTTTATCTCAGCCAACTAATCAATATTATCTGTTATTTCACCTCCAAATTTTGATATGACCGTGCTAGATGAACAAGTTCACCTCGGTCCTGTTCAAACAATTTTATCCATTTTGACAAATGAAATTTCATACTAGAGTCCGTTTGATAGTAAGAATGAAATTTGAGTGGAAAGAAAACAAATTTCAAAAAATTGATTTGTCTAAAACTTGTTTTACTGAAAATTGTTAATTAAATGTATATGATTGATATAATTTTTTATATAAAAAATGTTTAATTTTTGGATCTTTTGATGTTCGTTTGGCTTTATTTTTCATGAAAATTATTAGTTAAAGTGATAGAATTTGTTACAATTGTGAATAGAATTTGTTTCCATTGTCACGAGAAAAAAAAACCTGGAATTTGATTTCCCACCACAAATTCAAGGAAAATGGATTAGGTGGGTGGGGTGGCGGAAGGGCAAACATTTTCCAACGAAAATTTTTGTAATCAAACAACCAAAAAAATGAAAAATAGTTCCATGGAAAATTTTCTCTATCAAACAGGCCCTAAGTGTTATTTGTTTTGATTGTGTTAAATGTGATGTGTTCCACGATGTAAATTTTGATCGTAAAATCATTACACTCTTATTTTAAAATAAAATTATTCTTTTTAAAATAAGAAAATTCGTAGTTCTTTCTTTCTTTCTTTCCAGCTTCGCATTAATGCAATAAGGTTCGACTATATTGAATACTATAGTATCGTAGATTCTCGTAATAAAGATGGTTAGGGTTTTACTCCTATTGAGTACTCTTTCAGAGAATATCTTTCAGTTGAAATGGCCACAATCATTTTCTGTTTTTTGCTTTTATTTTTTATTTATTAAACTTTATAAAAATAGGAATTTTTATTATTTTGTGTTAGTTAGGACTTAAAGCTAATGTATTAAGATCATGGGGATATATTAACAGTCAACTTCGTTTTCCTCTACTGTTAGGTTGTTTATGGAAATATTTTAAGCCTTCTCACAATTCTTTTTATTATTCTATTAAAGAATGTTTAAAGTTCAGTATTATTCTCCAGAAGTGATCAATTGAAACCTCTAATGGTTTCTTCTAGACCAACATTTTAGTATGAAGAACAGGTAAATATTTTTCTACTCAAAAAGTAGTAATAAGAAACGTTCAATTTTTCATGTTCTCGCTGTAGTTAAATGATCATCTTTGGGATAACTTATCTAACCCAAGAATAGTTACAATGTCTTGAAGCTCTTCTCAATATTAAATTTGCGTAGTTTCATAATATTAATCAGTAGAGGTGAGCGTGGGTCGGTTCGGTTCGAATCTAAAGAGAAATGAATCGAATCGAATCAAAATTTTCGGGTATATAGTAAATAAAATCGTCGGGTCCAAGTATAATTATGGTAGAACCGAATCGAACCAAAATTTTTGGGTATCTAGTAAATGAAATCGTCAGGTCCAAGTATAATTATGGAATCATTGGAGTTCGGTTCCGTTCGATTCTATACTATAATTAAATTTTTTAACATTTATAACAACATTATATAAATACAACTAATGAAACATTTAATGGTTTTGGAATGTCAAAAACTAGTAGATTACATTGTTCAAATGATCGCTACGGTCAAAATTTCGGTTGGCGGAGGTCACAGCTTCGATCAAAGATCACAGCGTCAGTCCGCGATTGTATCGGTTTTGGAATGTCAGCGAGGCTGCGAGAGTGAGTACGAGAGTCGAGACAATGTTATGCACTTTAGTATAGATGTTTAGGGTTATTTAGTGGGTTAGATCTTGTTGGGCTAAGAAATGAAACAATAAAATAGGTAATTGGACATTTTACCAAAGAGCCATAATCGCACTCTCTAGTTAAGGACAATTATGAAAGCAAATTATGACCTGATACCAATGTCCTCCCATCATCATTCCACAAGTTAATTCATGTTTGACTATCAATATGTTGGTATCAACAAAATAACAATTTTTGCCCTTCCAATGTTTATAGCCCTTAGAGTCCCATTTTATTGAGGCAAACCTATTGTAAATAAATCATAACATAGATCCCAACGATTCCATTTTTGGACTACTAAGCTCAGTTCAAATGTCTATAGAGAATGCCTCAAAGTGACAATCGTCTTATCATAATGATTAACTAATTTTTCTATTGTAAGTATATGATTTCTAATTGTTTCATCCCGATTCCCAAAGTACAAAGATTGATCTTCCAATTAAAACTTCGCACGTGGCACCTCAAAGAACTTTAACTAGAAATCAAATGTATATTACTCACTTAAAATTTAGGTTATTTGTTCGATAATCAAGTAGAGTCTCATTCATAAATGAGTCATCCACGCGACTCTATTCAACGTGCCCAAATACATAATTGTTCTTAATTTCAGGATTTAGATAAACCCTAATAAGAACAATGTAATCTTATTAACATAAAACATCTAACTTTATGAACTAATAATCACATCACAAATTGTGCTTTACTATACTCGAACTATCAAGTATATAAGTTGAGACTCTTATAAGACCAAAACACTACTCAAAGGTCACCAAACTAACACTTGCTCTTTAGAGATGAAAAGATTTAATCATCCTTTCGGGTATTAAAGTTAATAGGGTTGAAGGAAAAGAGAGATGGAATTAACTTCATATATATAAAAATTAAGAGAGGATAAATGTCGACTCTATCCTAAAAAGAATTCCTTGTGTTTAAAATAAAGGAAACCTATACAAACCTATACATCATTTTCAAAGGGTAATTGGCGTAAAACGTCCCTACCTTTCAACTTCATTGTGTAAAACGTCCTCACCTTTCATTTTTTGGCATTTTTGCCCTCAAATCAACCTTTCGTTGCGATGAAGGTCCTTCCGTCCAATTGCCATCCATTTTGCCGTTAATTAAAGAGAAAGACTCAATTTCTTGCTGGTCAACAAGGGTAAAATCGTCCTCACCTAACTGAACACTTCTTCCCGCCTTCTACGTAGTCCACATAGTAACAGTAGCTGGAAAATGGGTGTGAAAATACTTTAAATTATTATATTAAATGAAGGAAAAACTGTCGTGAAGAACATATATGGTGAAATCCAACCACCAGGTCTACCATTGCTGCTCTAATGTTGGGTTTCTAGAAAAATGTAGCAAGACATGTATTGAATGGGTGGTCAATTTATAGAGACAACTACTAGGTTTTCATTTCTAGTTTATGCTTATTGTGACCATGGGGTAAATGGCGAAGATCAAGTGGAAATGGGTGCTGTGTATTTATCATTTCAGTGGTACTGGCTCATTTTGGCTTATTGGTAAAGATGAAGGATCCTGTTCACTTTTTTTGGGAATCTAATGAACATTGCGTTAATAATCCCTACGTAGTTATAATTTTTCTTAAGACATCCCTACCTATAAAAAGTATTGGCGATTGACGTCCCTACCTTTTAGAAAAATTTGCGAATAACGTCCCTACCTTTTTAAAAAATTTTGGTGAGAGCGTACCCTGTTTTCTTCCATATACCACCTGTTGATACACACCAACTCAAAAGTCCCCAAATATACAATTCTATCACAGAATTTGAGCACAATTCATCCACCAATTGACCGAAAACTGAAACAAAAATAACCACTACCTGTTGAAGCTAAGATAAACGAAACTGAAGCAAAAATATATACAATTCATTTCAAATGTGCAAAATATCCACTCTGCAGCCAACATAAGTTCTGAACATCAAAAACAGGTTCCTAAACACCAAAAACAGGTTCCTAAAGTGCTATATTGTATCCACTACCTGATGACAATTTGTGCACTGAACAACAAAAACAAAAGCCAAAAAATTAATAGAACTTGGCAGAGAGTTTTCATCCTAACAAGGTGCTGGAGGTGGGTTGATCATTGCTGGGCTTTCTCAGAAACGGAAGAAACATGTTGTTCCTTGAAGTCTTGTGTAGCAATAATAAACCTTATCAGAATCCTACACATACACTCAATCATGCAAAGCACCAAAATATGAAATGGAAAACGAAAATACTGACAAATAATGATTCTTACCGTCGCCCGCTTGTTGGAAAAACTCTCAACGTAGGTTTCCACTACGCCGACTGCTAATATGCGCCCATACGAGAGGAGAATGGAGGAAAAATTGTAG